TGGAGCCGAGGATGGAAGAACTTCCCTCCAGCTCATCATCTTTCCGCAGCCTGGTTTCCAAAGGCAACGCAGCTTATGCAATGAGCGATGCCTCCCTTCCGCCCCCACCAACTTCTGGATCCGCCGGATGCTCCGAGCCACCTCCGAGCGGGGACGATGCCTCCGAGCCCCCGTGTTCCCTGGAGGAGTGACCCCGGAGGGCTCAGCCGTGGCCACCTGCACCGCCGAGCTCACCGGGTGTGTGCCAGCGGCTCGATCAGCCCCGCAGGTGCCACCGAGGGGTGGCCGCAGGGTGCCCTGAGCTGCTCCGCTCCTGTCACCTCCCTCCAAGGGACACAGATCGAGTGTCCGCATCCCCAGCAGGGTGAGGAGGGGCTGGAGGATGGAAACCACAGGCTCCGGCCTCCTGCAGCCCCAGACATGAATCTGGGGCAGGGATCTGGCGTTTGCCCAAACCTCCTCCTCTTCCTCCATCCCTCCGACCCGGCGATGGGTCAGATGCTGCCACTGCCACGACACCAAAATCCCTTCTCCCGCTTTGCTCCAAGGTGGGCAAAGCAAATGGGACAGAAAAACCTCCTCCTAAAACAAAAAAACAACCCCCTCTGGTTCATCCATCATTCCAGCCTCTCATTTCACAAGGCCATTCCCGTGCAGACAGAGGGGAATCCGCCACAGGAAAGCCGAGACTCCCCCATTTCTCTGCTTTTGAAGGGGAAAAAACAGCCCGGCGCGTCCAAGCGCTGCGAGAACTTCGCCACGGCCGCCGGTTCCCGGCTGGAGCGGCTGCCAGCGCGGAGCACGGGCGCTGCCAAGAGCGGCCCCTCGCACATTCCCAGCCCGGCCGCGGAGCTGACGAGCTCAAGTATTTACTGAATAGATCAATAAAGGGCCGGGAACGCGACGTGCGCGGCTTGGGAACGAGCGGCTGGCGAGGAGCTGGATGGACCGATGGCGGGAGGCTGGACAAACCGACAAACGGACGCACGGACCGGGGGACGGACAGCCCCGGTGGCTGGATAAACCATATTCCCGGTGCCACCAGGCCCGGTCACAGCCAAACTCCGCAGCCGGGCGTCGCGGCTCCGGGAGAAGCAGCCCCGGTTATGCAAGAGGGGGAGCGTGGGGCGAGGCCGGGCTGTCACGGGCACCCCTGGGACCGGTGGGATCCCGGACCCGGCCACCCCCGGCACACCGGGACCGCCGGCCCCGGCTCCCGCAGCGGTGCTGAGCTCCAACTTTCCCGCTTGGCTGCGGGGAAAACTTTGGATTCCAGAGGAAAATGGGGATGGAGGGCGGGTGGGAGCCACGGGAACGGGCAAAGAGCGCAAGCGAGCGGCCCCCGCGGCTGCGGGGGGACGGGGCGGGGGGTGCACCGTGCGCTGCGGAGCGGTGCCCGGAGGACGCGCCTCCCCGGTCCGGCCCGCCGCTCCCCGCCGCTGCCCGGTTCCTCCGGTGTCCCCACGGCGCAGCGGGGCCGGGCTGCGCCCGCTCTGCTTTGTCACGGCGGCGGCGGAGGGGGGGGACGCGCAGCGCCCCCCGCCCCTCCCCGGCCCGGCCGAGCCCCGCGCCCCCGACAGCGGCTGCGGCGCCTCCCCCTCCCCGCCGGTATCGCCCCGCGGGGCTCCGGCCCCGCCGCCCCCCGACTCACCTTCGAGGGCGCGGGCGGCGGGCGCGGCCAGCAGGGCCAGGAGGCTCCCGGCGAGGGCCAGCAGCGGCCCCATGCCGGCGGCTCGGCGGCGGCGGCGGCGGCGGCGGCGGCGGCGGCGGCGGCGGCGGCGGCTGCTCACGCCGTGCTGCCCGTGGGGCGGCGCGTCCCGGGCCCGCGCACCGACATCCGCGGGGGGCGGGCGGGGGCGGGCCGGCGGCCGGGCCGGGCCGGGCCGGGGGGCGGGCGGACCCTCCGGGCTGGGCGGCGGCGGCGGCGGCGGCGGGGCCGGGGGGCGGCGGGGGATGGGGG